AGGATCCGAGCCGGAGGGAGTCGGGGGCCGGGGGTCGCGCGACAAGCGGACGGCATGGGGTGAGCAGCGCCGGCTGGGATTCCGGCCGCCCGACCCGTCGGGGCGGCCGGTCGGCGCCGCGGAGCAGGCAGGGGCGCGCCAAGTTTCCGACGCCTGCCCGCGAGCTCCGAAAACATGAAGGGTTTGGGCGGGCTGGTGTGGGAATGAATCACCCCGGTCGCGCCCGGGCGCGGTGACCAAAAAAGCCTGTGGGGCCCGCCTGGCCCGTCCCGCGTTGGGGTCCAGTTGGCCAGGGCCACTTGTGCGGACACCACGCGCGAGCCGGCCAAGGTTGTCGTTGCTTAAAAATAACCGGCGCTGCGCCTCCTTCTCTCGGGCAGCGAGTCGTCCTCCACGCCGGGAAATGGGGCCACGCCCGAGGAGTGCCCGGCGCTCGCCGACAGCCCGACCACGCTCACCGAGGCCCTGCAGATGATCCACCCCATTCCCGCAGACTCGTGGAGAAACCTCATCGAACAGATAGGTGGGTGTCCTTGGCGGCGGCTGCGGGGCTCCACTGGGAAGCGCCCTGGTGGACTCGGAGGGTCCCCCTGCCCGTGAGATGCCGTTGCATTTCTGCGAGCACCGTATCCCGTGTGGCTAAGGGACCTTTTTGACACATTCGGTTCCAAGTGGTTCCACAGGCAAAACTGCCACATTTTAATAGTGCTGTATAATTGGGTTCCAGCAAGTGCATTTGACTCCTGCTCTCCAGAGAGGTCTACCTGCCCAGCCCTTTCCGGGGGAGGGCCCTCTGCCCCCTTGTCATTTCTGCCAAAAAGACCAGGGGTGAGGCCCTGCTGGGTTTTGCAGGAAGGGGTGCTGTGGGAGCCCCTCCTGGGAGGGGCCTGGGAAAGACCTGGGAAGACAGCCAGGTCTGAGAATGGCTTCTGCGGAGACCCAGGCTCAGGAAGAAGAGGCGGTGGTGGGAAGGAAGGGTAAAATGGAGACGGAGTGGGAGCCCCAGAGGCCCCTGGGTTAGGAAGGGAAGGCTGGTGTCACCTGCTTTTCCAGGAACGTGGCCCAGGGTGCGGGGCACAGCTGTGGCTCAAGAACTGTGTGAACGCAGAGTGGGTTGAGAAGGTGTCCCGAGAACTCAAGCACTTGGATTTAAAAGTCAAAAATTGCTAACGACGTCAAACTAGGTCCGTCCCGTGACAGTCACCACCGGCGGTAGTGAAGGGGGGCAACATGGGCTCCGTTATTTGGAAAATGGTACCGGCTGCTTAGAAAATCTTTTTGTCCTTCGGTGTTGTCAGAGCAGCAGTTTGTCCGTTAAATTAAACCGCCAGGTTGGGAAATTTTATCCCTAAATACATCATCACTGTCCTCTCTCTGAGTCACTGAGGCAGGCGTGAGGTGTCTTGAGTGGAAGCAGAGTTTCCGTTGCCCCAGGAGACCCTGTCTGTGGGAGACTTCTCGGGCCAGCCCACTCTTCCCTGGAAGGGATTTTTCCAGACTGAACCCTGAGAGGAGCGGAGCCCCGCGCACAGCAGAGGGGGTGGGGCGCATTCTGCGAGCTGTTGGGCTGCGCTGACTCCAGGAATGTTGTTACCAGGGCTTCCTGTGTGTCAGGCTGGGCGATGGTGGCAGATTTTCCCTTTGTTTGCTGGGGTAACGGACAGGGGCCGAGAGCAAAGACCCTTAGAAACCTTTTCTTCCCGCCTCTCTGCCACATTGTCCTTCGTAGTGAGGAAACCCACCTCTGCCTTAGCCTACGCTGGAAACCTTGACTTCCACCCTCTCGAAAGGGATCTTCTGTAGCTAAAATCAGTGTCATCACTGGGAGGGACATAGAGTGGGGGTGGGGAGCTCCATGCCTCCTTTCGCGGAGAGAGGGGCTGTCCTCTGCATCACGGGCGGGCGTGTGGAGACACCCCTCTTGGAGGTGGCCGGTCCTGTTAGGCTAGTGGCACAAGCTTGAAGCAGGGAGTCAGGGGACCTGAGCGCTGGTGTGCACTCAGGCTGGCCCTCGGCATGTGGCAAACCGCAGGGACTAATATTCCAAGTCTTTTCTCCCACCACCCCCTTCCAGTATCCGCTGGTGTCATTGGTGAATATCTCTGTCCGGCTCCTGGGCTGGATCCGTAGTAAGTGCTCACCGGCTGTGATGGATGGACGACAACCCAGAGCTGTCAGCACCTTCTCGCTTCCTCCCTTATGGACTTGAGGCCGGTGCCGAACAGACTCCTCCAACAGCCATATCTGCCCTTACCTCCCGGAAGGGAGGGAGTTCCTTGCCAGGTATCAGATAAGGACGAGTTCCTAAAGCCACAGGGAAATCAAGCAGGGAGGAAAAGGCGAAGGCAGGTGTGGGCATTTTGTAGCCTGCTCTTGGGTTTTGCAGCGTCTCCCACGGAGGCCAGAGCAGAATTGCTCAGGATGATGCACGCTATGGCCCACAGCTGTCGTTATAGACCACGGACCCCGAGACCCTGTGATGGACCCTGAGACGGGCTTCGTGTGCACAGGTGTGCTGTTGTTGTCTCTGACCCCTAACAGATGCTTGACACGTGAAAGGTGTTCACTTAAAATTAAATGAATCCCCCACCCTTTAGAAGTTTCTATTTGAGTGATTCAAAAAGTGAGATTTTGAATGACTCCAGGAGCTTGGGCAAGAGGAGCGAAGAACTCCCCCTCTTTCACGGGGCAGCACAGCCAGCCTGGTACAAATCATTTTAAGTAGGAAAGATGGGAACTGGGTCTTCTAATTGTGCATGAATATAACACACCAGGTGGGGAGCACCTGGGTGGCTCGGTCGGTTGAGCGTCCGACTCTTGATTTTGGCTCAGGTCCTGATCTCACGGTTTGTGAGATAGAGCCCCGCGTCGGGCGCTGCGCAGGAGCCTGCTTGGGATTCTCTGTCTCCCTGTGTCTCTCTGCCCCTCCTCTGTGTGCGCACACGCACTCTCTTTCTGTCTCTCTCTTAGAATAAATAAACACTAAAAAAATAATAATAATATGCCAGGTGAAAGGAGCCCCTGGGTGGCTCAGTCAGTTAAGCATCTGACTTCGGCTCAGGTCATGACCTTGTGAGTTTGAGCCCCGCATCCGGCGCTGTGCTGACAGCTCGGAGCCTGGAACCTGCTTCAGATTCTGTGTCTTCCTCTCTCTCTCTCTGCCCCTCCCCTGCTTGCCCTGTGTGTGTGTGTGTGTGTGTGTGTGTGTGTGTGTGTGTGTGTGTCTCAAAAATAATTATTTAAAACAATTAAAAATATATACACCAGGTGAAAGATTTTACCAGTAAAGTTAATTTTCACATAAAGTTGTGCTTGCTGAGTGTACAAGATATAAAATAGGAAATCATATTAACAGTACAAGGAGTAGAGAAATTTAATCAGTTAACATGTAGCTTCTCAGGTAAAGCTACTCTATCTGAATTTTAAGACTAATAAAAATAAACAAGTTATGAGAAATGGTTACACAGTGTGTCAGATAACTCTTCGTAGTCACAGTAATTCCAGGAAAAACAGTGTTGAAATTCATATTCTAAATGCTTCAGAAAGAACTATAGAGTTTTAAGAAAATCCTAAAATTACTGGTAGTGGGAGTCGTTGACCAAAAGTAACAGAATATCCAGCAAAAAATGACATTACACAATGGCAATATTGTATCTCAAAGGTAGAAAATTCTGGAGTTGGTTTCCTCACCCAGCTCCTTTCCCTCCACCATTCTCAACATTTGGGCTTCATGTCACAAGATGGCTGCCATAGCTCCAGGCATCACATCTTCAAGCAGCCATGTCTAAAAGCAAAAAAGGGAAGTGTTTATTCTTCAAGTGTTTATTGGTAAGGAACATCTTTTTGGGAAGCCCTTCTCAGAGATGTAGGATGTCCCCTTACTCTCCTTGGCCAGGTTAGGTTATGTCATGCTCATGTCTAAACCCACCACTGGCAAGAAGGAGGAAACTATCACGGTAGGGCTTTTTGTTTGTTTGTCTGTTTGTTTGTTTGTTTCAGGTGGTTTTGTTAAACTTATTTTCTGGCTTTCAGCATATACATGAACAACCTGTATACTTTGAACTTAGAGATTAGGGCTGAGTGTCCCCTGTGAATCTTATAGGGCAGATGAGGCCCTTTAGGCAGATGAAGCCAGATTTTAAGGGAAATTTACATTGGATGTGGACATTTATTTCTAAATCTGAAGACGAATTTCTGTGATTTTATCTTGTCAAGGGAGTCCCCTGGAGCTAGCCATTATACTGCTAAGATAATTGAGAGCTCTCTCTAAAGAATTTTTGTTTGTTTGGTTGGTTTGGGTTTTTTTCCCTCCACCCTTTGGAGAAAGTTTTTACTTCTATTTTTTAAGCTTTTATTTTAATTCCAGTTAGTTAACATATAAACTAATATTAGTTTCAGGTGTGCAATACAGCATCACGGTAGGTTTTGATCAGTCAACATTCACCCACTTCCCAGAGCACAGAACGGGTCAGCACCCAAACAAAACTCCTCCCCTGCCAGCTGGGAACAAGGGGTGTGAGGAGATGGGGGAGAGGCAGCCAACCGTGTGATTTCCGAATTATTATTTTCAACCCAACTACCCACAATGCTGATATTTTTGCTGCTTTTCACCAGACGTATCACAGTGAGATGCCGGAGATAGGATTTACTCATGATATGCCGACCGTAGCATATGTAAGACATATTTTTTGAACCTTCAAAAAGATGCCAGATTAGTAAGCGCTTTGGTGAAACTTTAGAAACGGCATTTTTTTAAAGGCGTCCAACAAATATATGAGTACCTACTATGTGAGAGGCTCATTCACCTGGAAACGTGAATCCAAGTCAACTCAAACTTGATTTCTTTAAGCCTCTGGAAACACTGTGCATTGGAATCACAGGAGAATGACTGGGTCAATGTCAGCACAACAGTTAAATCTTACGCTCATGACTGAACCAGTTTAGGTAGTGACGTTAAACCTCTGTCTTATAGATCTTCAGTCTGGATTGCATTTAACGAAGACTTTGCTTTTCTTTTTTCACTGTAACATTGGAAAATCACAGGATTCTAACAGTGTAACATCATAGGATCTTAATTTTTTTTTTAATTTTTAATTATTTATTATTATTTTTAATGTTTATTTTTATTTTTGAGAGAGACAGAGACAGAATGTGAGTGGGTTAGGGGCAGAGAGAGAGGGAGACACAGAATCCAAAGCAGGCTCCGGGCTCTGAGCCGTCAGCACAGAGCCCGACGCAGGGCTCGAACTTACGAGCTATGAGATCATGACCTGAGCTGAAGTCAGCTGCTCAACCGACTGAGCCACCCAGGCGCCCTGGATCTTAATTTTTTTTTTTTTTTTTAAGTAAACGCTATACTTACCATAAAGGCTGTACAATTTTGCATTATGGAGCATAAGAAGCCAACTAATTCCACAGGGCGAGTTTGTTTGGCTCCTGTTTATGAATATAATTTATCTGGCCACATTCAGGATTTCAAAGTCAATCTGTTTTTCTTTCGTTCCTTTGTCTCCTGTTTAGATATATTTAACAATTAGATAAGGAAGGAATGGTAGCTAATGTTTGTACTTCGTTCATTGTAAGAGAAAGTGCTTTACAAGTGGTACATTTATCCCAATTAGAATTTCTTTGGGAAAATCATCTTTGTTTTATAGGTGGACATATCAAGGGGCCCCAACTGCTGTTCAGACCAGTACATCCAGCTAGCTGCCCACTGGACCTCTCCTCCTGGGTGCCCCTCAGGTGCACCTGATCTCTCCACCACCCCATCTCCCTGTGTTCCTGGTCTCTTTGAGTGGGGCCACCACACCCTGTGGCCATGCTGGTCACCTGGATGCCATTCATGACCCAGCAACAGGCAGTCACCAGGACCCGACTTGTACCTTATTATCACTGTTCCCTGAATTGGGTACTTGGCCCCATCCCCCACAGGTAGTGCACGTCTCCATCATCACCCCCCTGGGGAATTACCCCAGCGTCTTTCTTCCTAACCACACCCATTCAAAAATGGGGGCAGAGCTGCTTGCCTCGGGTCACTCGGGGCCTCTCTCATCCCAACAGGATAGACCACCACCTTCATGGCGTGGCAGGTAGACAAGACCCTGGGGGTCTGACCCCCTCCTCACGCAGGCCCCACCCCGGTCTCGCCAGGCCGGGAACCCCCCTGGCCACTGAAGCTTATCTGCTGTGAGGAGACGCTGCCTCTACCCTGCAGCCAGGATGTCTGAAGTGGGTTTTCCCTATGGAGATGCTACGTTTGTGCTGATTCATATGTACCTCCAAATCTCCTTGGAGACATAGAGTGCTTTTATTTTAAGTACAATTGGTCAGGGAGGTAAGTCTGAAATTGCAAAAGCAAA